TAATTAATAATTTCCAGATACGGGACGAATTTTCTCCTTTTTCTAAAACACATTTTCTGGAACAGCACGCAATTCTCTACAAATTCAAATTAGTTTCAACCTTTACTAAAATGCTTAGAGCCCTGACTAACAAATGTTTTCGGTGTTCCATCTTTCCCATGCAAATTAGTGCTTTCCATCAAAACTAAGACTTATAATGCGCTTTATTTACCCTTAAAGAATTACTGAGAAACATTCTAAATTAGTGAAGTCGACAGAGTTTTGCACGGGCAATCTTCTCATCTATTTGGTTTTCAAGAAAACATTTTTCTTCAGACTCTAGGAAAAAAATAAAGAAAAAATTATGTTGCAAGAGCTGTTTTAGAGACGTTTAGTATCGAACTTTTTTCTTCCTCAAAGTCAATCCCAAAAGTTTTGTTTTCTATATTTTTTGAAGTTCAGACTTTGCTCTTTCAACCAGAAAAAGAATGAACTTTCTACGATGTACCAAGCTGGAGAACCAGACTCCGACATTTCCGCAATTACTTTTGCATCGTAGGTTATTGTATGGCATTTCATTTTTTAGAAGCTGAGCTTAGCTGTATCTAGATCAAAATTTAGACCAAAACTGCAAAAACTTTTTTTATTCCAGAATGGCAGTCCACCCTTTTAGAGTGGCATTCTTCCATTCAGGAATGGTATTCCAGAAATTTTGTACCCATTCGGAATGTGCTTTTTACCCCTTAACAGAACAGAAGGAAAGCAAAGCACAAAACAAGAATACACAGTTGTTGGAATCGAACACAAAAAATATGAATTTAAAAGCATCAGTTTTACTTTTGGACTCAATTATTCAAAAGTAAACTCATATATATCATTATCCATTTGTTTTGGCTAGAGTGCATAAAAGAAAACCTACCTTGCGTATATAACCCAGGAGAAAAATCTTGAATGCAGATCTTGATAAATCTTTAAAGATTTCTCAAGTTTCCCCCCAGATCTTTCAAGAACTTGTGCAGATTTACCGAAATCTATCAAGATTCTGAACGGAAGGCAATGCTGCAGATTTTTCACAAGTTTTGTATCAGAATCTGTCGTGATAAATCTTGAGCAGATCTTGTCAAGATATTTCAACAATTCTGAAATGATTAATTTAATACGCAATAATCAGAATCTTCATTAACATATTTGGGAATTTGAAAGAAAATCTTAAACTTTATTTTCTACTTAATATTTTCATTTTTTTCTACTGTATCACTACAGTGCAAGCTCTACGGTACTATGCATACAGTACCAGAGCTGTTGAAAGTGATTGCCGTTTTGAAATTATCACGTGATTTCAAAAACTCCGCTAAATGTTTGACTAAATGTTTGACTAAATGTTTGAATTGAATTTGTCATGCTGCTCAAGGTTTAAGACAAGGACATTATTTTTGTTTTTATTGTTATGGAAATAATAAGTGGATGATGGCTAATGATACTGAAGTGACACCATCTGATTTACCTACGGTATTAGACAATCAACAAAGTGTATATCTACTATCTTACACGAGAATTGATAATAACAATACCAACTTAACCGATATATTATCTCTACAATCTCAATCTCACATACCTGCTCTCTCTCTTCTTCACCAGTTAACCGACGATATCTCAGGAACAGAACAAGTTAGGAGGTTTGAAGTTTCGTCAAAAGTTAAGCAATACTGTGTTCTGCTTTTGTCGATAAAAAGAAAGAAATGTTTCTAGGCTGCACATACGATAGTTGGGGACACGACAAAAATGTGTAGTTCTCGGGAGCCCTATTTCTTATCGAGTTTTGAACAGTTTAGAATAACGTGCCACAAAAACTGATACCACCCGTATAAAATACTACAAGAAAAATGCAAAATACGATTTGTTACGTTCGTAAGGTATTACTGGTTAGTGATTATATGAGACATTAGTAAAATACACGAGACATTAGCGAATTATACGACATATTAGCGAACTAAAAGTGAGATTTTAGTAAATATTTTAGTGAAAACCAGTTCAACAGAACAGCGATCAGTGAAATGTAGTAAAACTGGGAATTTTGAGATTAACCTTCCCTCATACTGTGGAGCCTACAAGCGCAACTACCTGAGTAAGCACCACTCAAGTTATTTTCTCATTAATAAATAACTAATCTGTTCGTCACACAGGTGCGACATGAGAGTGAGTTCAAAAGAACATTTCACTAATGTATCCACTGTTCTAGTAAAGGGACAGCCGCGAATTTCTTGGAACGCATATAACTTGCAGTGACGGCAACCCATCAATATTTTGTGAAATTCACTAATGTCTCGTGTATTTTACTAAAATCTCGTGAATTCCTAATACGTAACTTAATATGCTAATATCTCATGTATTCACTAAAATCTCACGGAAAAGATCTCAATTTTTACGCCAGAAACTACCTCCAAAAAAGACTTTCGTATGTAGATCGGACTGACTTAGGCCAGTCTCTATTCTTGAACGATATGTTCTTCTGGGATAATTTTGTAAATAATGGAAAGAAGTCATTTCTTTCAACAAAATCGTGTAAAAAAGATGAAAAAAAGACATGCATCTTTACTGTTACACTGGTTGACGTTCATTGATGAACATTAGAAGGCAATATAAAATATACAGTGTTGGGTTGTTTTTTTTTTGTTTCCTTTGTTCTTTTCCTCTGTAGACAGGTACTAACTATTCTGGCACGTTTGTTCTTTGTGTCCGTGTCGTTCGTGTTCTGTTATTAACCTTCCAGTTAGATTATTTACAGCTAGTAAACTGAATGGAGATTAAATCATGTTGTAATACTACTATGTTTTGTTTATTTTTATTGTATCCAGGTTGATAAATATGTCCATCCTTTTTACACCCATTTCTACAAGCGCTTCCGAGCGTGACACATAAACGGCTCAATCAAAAAAAATAATAAAATTATTTAGTTTCCCCTGAAACAATATGAGTGCGTTAGAAAAGCTAAACTGAGCTGATTGTAGAAAAGAAGAGAATATCGATTATGTACGGTTTCAATTAGTTTATTCCACTCGGTGTGTTTTTGACATGTCAGATCGCTGAATGTTGACGGCAGTTGCAAGCAAATTGTCACCATTGTAACAAAAGTCTTTCGGCAACACATTTTAATGCCCATCGGCTGGAAGGACTGCTCGAGCTGGTACACTGATGAATGAAATCAATGATATAGTTCACCAAAGAGATCACGTTTTGAAAAGTCAAGTGTCAAACTTCTTGAACTTTTAGTATTTGAGAATACTATATAAAATGTTTTTTAAACATTCTGTAGAGATCTGTTATAGACTTTTATTAAATAAACGTAAATTTTGTTCATGTTGAGCTTTGTCAAAAAATAACCGATAAGATCCATTCCATTTGAATCTTTTAAGTATTTTTTTAAATAATGATCTCTTATCGTTTCAACTTGATTTGAAACAGGATATTTCCATGTTGACAATTACATGTGCGGACCGATCTGCAACTGCTTGTTTATCAACACTTTCATTGCATTTGATCCATTCAGTTTCTTTCGTATTAGTAGCAACAAAACGATTTTGTCCAACGATTGTAACACGTCGAAATAATTGCTCAATTTCTTGATTGGCTGCTTCGTCATAAGGTGCTAAATTATGTTTGTTTGTTTGAAGTAGAAATGTTGCTCTAACAATTGTGGTTTCTTCATTGGACTGTCTGTCTATTATACAGTCACTGCTACAACACAAATTAATCCTCTTCTATACAGACGTGCGCGGTTACAATTACAAAATGTAAAGTTCAAACATTGCTATTATCTGTAGAATTAAGAATTCTAGAATTATGAACTTTACTTGTTCAGAATTTTCTGAAATTCTGAATTCTAGGGGTGAATGTGGGGGTGAGGGTGAGCATGAGTGTGAATAAGCAACTTTACATGTATGTAAAGTTCATAATTCTAGAATTCTTAATTCTACAGATAATAGCAATGTATAAACTTTACATTTTGTAATTGTAATCGCGCAGCCCTCCTTCTATAAAATCATGATTATCATATCATATCAAACTGCTCAGTAAATCTTTATGGAGTAATATTTGTTTTCTCAATAATACTTTATAAGATTGTTTGACATCTGTTTTGTTTCATTTTTGAAAAACAAATCAGTAAAACAATTGCCGATATAAAGTTAATCATAAACGGTGTAACGTTATGAAT